TTCCATTACCATACATACCCTTTTTGTCATGCCCATAACCACCCACTAGGTCTTATATGGACATAAACCTCGTCACCCTTGGACCTACTATCACGACGTGCATATCTCACATAAATATAAAAGCAATATATCAAACAAATATCTACATACCTACCTTACCCACCTCCCCCAAAGCCCCAACCCCAACCGATTTAATCCACTCTCCACAAGCCAATATAATAGTATCCCCAACTCTTAAGTTAACTCCAACCCCCAAACTAACAATTCCCTCAAGTTCGCCCAAGAGCTCCTTTCCACGTTCAGCACCGACCTAGGTGAGGTAGCGCTCATCCCAGCTACGGGGGGAATCTTCACAGTAACGATATATCATTCCTCGTCGGAGGAAGTGGAGACGCAAGAGACGATCTTGTGGGATCGGAAGACGAATGGGGGGTTTCCTGGTACGTACCTAGTACATCATCGTTCCTTGGATCTTTTTTGTTTGGTTTTAGGGTTTGTTTAGTTCTTGCTTTGGTGGGGAAGGGGTTGGTATATGGGAGGTGATGCTGATATTGTGCAGAGGTGAAAGTGCTTAAGTCGTTGGTGCGGAATGTGATTGATCCGTTGAGGGATTTGGGGCATACGGATCGGGCGTTGAGAGCTGCTAGTGTGCCTGTGAAGGAGGGGGGTGTTGCTGGGGTGGGTTCGAACGAGGGACAGGGGAGTGAGAAGGTAGATAAGGGTGAGAAGGAGTGTGAGGATTGTCGGTGATGGTGTTGAGTTGGTAGATATCGACTGAGTAGATGGGATTGCACGGTGTACACCAGATTCCCAAGGATAAATATGCCTGTAATGTATAGACATGCGAAACTACTTGAGATTGCCTTGTTATATATACTGTCATAGAGCGCGGTGTGTGAGACTAGGTGACAGTGACACTGCTACAAGCAAGATGTATTGGAACGATCTAGATAGATTATGCTCGACAACTTAGGTGGATGAATATATATATCACTGCATTGACATATTCCACAATCATGCTACTGAAAAAGAAAAGCGATAGCAAAATGCAACTAGTAGGGGCCCGTGTTTTCAAACACAAATGAAATTTAAGGCACAGTCCAGCCATATGGTGAACCTCAGAACGCCAAAACCACGCCCTGACTCTATGTCCGCCAACCCAAAGCCTATCCGGTAAAAAATATCAAGTAGGAGAACAACGAAATGGTTAAAGTGAGTGAACGATAATAATATGGAATAAAAGGGAATATCGGGAAAAAAAAAAAAAAAAAGGAAACAAGGGACAGAACGAAGGCGTCAGAATGTTGATAAAAAGAAGAAGAGTAGTATATAATAGAGGTTTCGAAAGTTTTAATGCGTCCCTGCAGTCAAAAATAAGGCTGACCTCCTGATTTCAGATATCATCTAATCAGGATCTCCGGCATCCACAAGTGGGATTGATATGCTCGGAAAGCCAGAACGTACTGCTGGTGTGCGGAGAGCATCGCCAATATCGCCAAGATATGGTCATTGGGGATGTCATCCGAAAGGACTCAAAACATGCACATGCCAATATTGCGGGCCATCCCGCGCGTCTACCTCGGGAACCGTGCTTTTTCTTTTGGGTTGCTCGGGTTCGTATGTCAACCGAGCTGGTCGTGAACATCATGCAATTCCATCGTAATTCCGGGTCATCAGCCAATGCATTACCCAATCCTCCCATTGATCCACATGAATCCCAGCCATAAACACCTTGAAACCATGTAAAACAAACAGTACATTGATCGATGAAATCTTCTTAAGAGAGACCATCATGATTCACCGCTCAGCTCATGATGGTGAGAATGATGGGTTTTGCGTTTCCAGAATGCCAATCGAAGCCGACTTCGACGTTTCAACAACTTGCGCGACGGTTGCTCTCCGCCGCTGGACCCATCCCATTGCTGACCATTGCCGTCATGCTTTGGGCTTCCCGGGGAGGGTGTGGACTGTTTAGAATAGCCATTGCCGTTCCCTTTTGCGGGCGCCATAGCATGAGTCTTGTTCATCTCATCGGACTGAGAATGGGAAGTATGGCTGGATTGTGGTGGATGACCCTCCGATTCTCGGTCAATATTGGAAGAGCCTGGACGCGCGTCGCCCCTATCACTTTCACGATCGCTCCTGCTACTGCTTTCCTGGTTAAAGCCCTTGTCCTCACCGTCATCTACGGTAAGGAAACTGGTTGCGTTCGTTGCAGGAGAAATAGGGGTCATGTTATTGCTGTAGTTACTGATGCTGTGGGTTCGGGTACAACTGTTCCGCTGAGAGTTCGACGGGCCAGATGTGCGTCCCGATGAGTTAGTGTTGGCGTGATGGCGACGATAGTTTTGTGGACCATTGCGTGAACTGCTCGGTCTTTCGCCTGTGATTTCCCCCGTACTGTCGCGGACGCTCGAATGATCCTGTGAATCATCCTCCTTACCCGAGTTAGAGAAAATGACGGCGGCCAGGACTGCGGGATCCCTTGAAGAGTGGTTCGTGTCAAGGGAAGAGTGGCCGTCAGCGGCTCCATTGGATACTCCGGAATCCGTCCGCAACTTGTTTCTGTCTGGGGACGCGCCTGCGATGGAGACCATGGCAAGGTCTGGCACAGCGTTGGAGGACTTTCGCGATGGTGTTTGCGAGGGCAAAGGGCTTCCAGTTATGTCCATTGAGGGACCAGCTGTATCCGGAGAGACGACAGGGCTGATGGTGTTCTCGTTAAGACTCCCGCGTGAGGTCTCAGAATCAACGGACGAGTGGACTGCACCAAAATAATCTGTTTCGCGCCGGCTACTGTTTTCATTGGGTGGGAATGATTGTTTGGCAGGAGAATCCGGTCCACTCGCCGTTAACGGTGCACGAAGACCCTTGAAGCCTTTCAAACTCACGGCTGGGCTCTGAGTACAAGGAGATACCACGTCTTCAGCGCCACTTTCGTCCAGTAAAGCCTGCTTCCTTTTCTCCAAATCAGCGAGGTAATGCCATCTGGATTGATTATTTCGAATATGCTCAACGGTGAATCGCATATCGGGCAAGATATCCGCTACACCCTCGAATAGAGGAAGAGCGAATATAGACATAAAACCGATCTGACCTATGGCGAGTTTGTATACGTTTCCGAGTTCTGGTGGCCCGCCGAACAAAGCAGTTTCCATGCCAACCTCCTTTTCCATCTCGCCCTGGTTGGCGAACTCTTCCTGCAGAATCTTGGTCCATTTTTCAGCCACATCCCACGGCCGCGCCACATTACTGATATCGGCGCATTTGATCAGCAGACCACAAAGAAGGGTCTTGTACATATCGAGATCCTGGGGCTTCCATCCATCAACAGTTTGGCCGTTCTCATAGAACTTCTCCTGCAAAGACCCAAGTCGCTCCATGAACTTCTGGTGCACGCCCATGTCTGTTGCCAAGATCGAGCTGATCAGCAACTTGCGGATCTGCTTATCCTTAAATGCGGATGGCCAATAGCGGCGCAAGATCTGGGAAAAGGCAGCGCAGTGAAATGCCTCCAACACCGAGTTGTCATTGTAGAGCTGTGCTAGCGGTGCGTTGAGCTTGACCAGGAAAAAGTTGTTCACTCCAGGGTGGCCCACGTCATGACCAATTGCCGATATCAACAGCGTAAGAGTATCGAAGGGTGTGAGAAGGGAAGCAATAGGAGATTTCGAATCAGTGTCTCGGGTAACGGACCCATAAGGGGGCAGGGCGCCAATGTGAAGGAGAAAACAAAATATGGATTGCAGGACATCAATAGCATGTCGAAAGTTATGGTAGAGAACAAAGGAGTTATAGGACGCACGACATGCAAGTAAGAATGTCCGAAGTTCACCTAATTCACAGGAAACCGCACCCAATCAGCCACCGTAGCAGATTTCCACAGAACTTGATGGTTCACTTACCTGGCGTTAATTGCCACTGTTCCAGATTTGGCATAGTGAAGGCATGGTGCAGGATTTCAGAAGCCCCCAACACAAGCTCATCATCAGAAAAATCATGAGCGGTAAAGTTCCAGTTCCCGATCTGCTCTTTGATGAGCTCCTCACGTTCTGGGCTCACATCTAATTCACTCCTGGAATGGTGAGTTAGACAAGTGGGTCTTATAGGTGCTGCAGTACATACCGATCCTGAAATTCTTCTATCACCTCTTCGGGGTTGCAGATGCCCTTCATAAGCTTCGACACCCTACACAACAAAGTAAGCACTGCGTTCGAGGCTAATGATGGTTGAAACCATCAAGGATGAACTCACATTGCTTCTCTTAAGTAGGCATAGGGCTGCTCATCGTGAACACCTACCCACGAATGCTTGCGCAACTTTTTTCTGGACATGAAGCGGGACTGTTCTTTCAAAGCGGACTTGCGAGCACGGAAGGCGTGGACTACAAGGCCCTGCATCCTAGCGTTGCTCAGGGGTGACGCTAAGACGTCAACGGCTCCCGCATCTAAGCATTTAGATATCTGCTGAAATTCGGGGATCGCCCCATTGCGCTGGGGGCCAACAGGCACACTACTAGGGGGCTGAGCAGAAGAGCGCAAGATAGCAACCGGGACGATTAAGTTTGGAGACTCTTGAACTTGAATGTCGGCAGACAACCCCGACAATAACTTCAGATCGTGCGCCCCCTCAGACTGAGATGAGAAGGTGAAGCCGCGACGCAACGAGGCCGGAGATGGAGGAGATACCTCAGGCCATGAGCCCCGGCCACTCTTCCGACGCGATAAGCCGGCGTCTTCCCCTGATAAATCGACGTCAAAGAACGCGAAGATAGGTCTGCAGGTCGTGATGGCGTCGTCACTAAGTTCGGCGAGTTTGGATGCGAGAGAGGGGCCAACATTACACAAATAAACTATATCGGAGATTCCAGTCAGTAACAGTACCCGTGAGAAGCACCAAGTGAAACACAAGACATACTTCGTTTGCAGACCCCCAGTAGAACTTCCACATCTGATCGCAGAGAATCGGGTTCGTCGGGAAAAGTAAAGGCACTGGAACTGGGGGTATTCGAGGAATCAGTTGGGTTTTGATACACCCACCGTTCTTGGACTACACGGCGATCAATATACACGGCCGAGCATTCGGCACCATCCATGCTGTCGACTGGGTTCGGCACACCCATAGCTTAGAGCTTCTCCAGTTCAAAGCGTGATTGGATGGACAACAGAAGCAACAGAGTGGTCAAAAGGAAAACAGTACTCTACTCAATCCAAACTCAGTCTCATAAGGCGAACACCGAGTTGATAGCGTAGGCTGCAGCGTGGATAATTACGGGGAAACGAAAAAATAAATCAGGGAAAAACGAGTGGCTGGCAGAGTATATAGAGAAGGTGAGGGTGGACGGTAGGTGAAATGCAAAAGGAGAGACTGAGAAATTGAAAGGAGCAGCGACCCTAATCTTTTTTGAGTTCTATCGGGTCAGCAACCATATGCAACGTTCGGGTGATGTAGTGTATGTAGGCGACACGGCGAAGCCAGTATGGAGAGGATCAAAGAGTTCTGCTCTCAGGAAACCGGGGACCGAGAAGCAGCCGCAGGTGCGCATTCGAACAATGGATTGTTCGCTGTAGCTGTCCACAGAGATTTGATCAATTGCCAACCTGCCCAGAGTGCAATACCAACCCAGAGTCCCTATTTCCGAGACATCCAGTTCTTTGTTCCATACACAAGCCTCCAGATGGCAGTCTACCACGATCGCCACATACACGTACACGGGATCCACTCACGTTTGGGGTCGGTAAAGCTCAGTAGGTCGAGAGAATAAAGAGACCGAGAGCGAAACACGGCCTGGTGTGGGCCAATTGCTTAGTGCTGTGCTGTTCTGCACTATCCGATAGAAACCGATTAGAAGCACCCCGCGGGATCGCGACACATGTAAAATTCGCCGAAATCAAGGACGACAAAATTCG